GTCGAAGAATGTGAGGCCATGCCTAATTTTTAAAGGCAGCACAAAATTTAACCCTACTCATCTGCTTTCCAGAGTGATAGTGAGGCTTGTCTGACTCTTTCAAGTCTAGTTGTTAGTCTTCCTTGCAGAAAAATTACCCAGACTGTGTGAGGCGTTAGCTTTTAACAAAGTTGAGTCCATAAACAAATTTCTGTACTTCACAATGCAGGTATCAGGATATCGCACACCATTTGCCTTTGTCTGAGCCTTTGAAGATTTCTAGTGGTTTCTGTGCTCTCACAGTATGTGAGAAGCTTTTGCTCTGTGACAGAACTCTGACAGCTGTACCTGAAGACTGGAAGGTTGGAATGGACCTAGAAAGTCAGAGATCTTGGTTTAAATGCAGTGTACATACAGGCCATGGATGCTGATGTACATGCATGCCCCCAACACCTTAAAAGTCTTTTAAGCCTTTTGGATTGTGTTTTTCTGTATGGAAAGTATTGATTTCCAGTTTAATTACTTGTGCTATCTTATTCTTGCTTTGGAATCCGTCTTTTTTTTCTTTTGCTTTGCTATACATTTTCTGCCATGCAGTGTTTTGATGCATGCCATAGCCTTAGTGATCACATGAGGGTTCAAAGTCATATTAATATTGTGAAGGGAAGGCATATCAGTAAATTTCCCTGTTATTTCAGCTGTAGCACCTCTCTACAGTAATTTCAGAAAATCTGTATTAACATCTATTTCATCCGGAAGGGAAAATATTCTCTGCACTGCACAACCTATTTGGCCTGCCCACATTTTTATTATTAGTGTCTAATAAAAAATTATTTGGCTTTTTTGCCTGATACTTATTTGATAGAGAATTACTATTAATCTAAATGTGAAAACTATATTGTTAGCATCGCTTTCACAAAATAGCCATATTCTACACTGTTGAGTAATGGCAACTGTAGTAATCAGTAGGATTCTAATGAGCAAAGTAAGTTCTTCTAATTATCTCATAAACCTACTTGTATGACTGGAAGTACAAAAAAATTATTGTTTGAAAGTACTATTATCTTAGACTGCTGAAGAAATTAAAGAGACTTTAATTCCATACATCAGGTTGCCCATGTATCCCAAGAGTAAGGTTCTCCATAGGTAGCTAGCAATGCAAATTATGCTCAGGATAGCAAAAGAAAACATCATACTTCTGCGTGTCTTTAACTGTTTAAAGAAAATAGCTTGAATCTTGCCTCATTTACGCAGGAGTAATTTGAAGTGTATCTTAAAATCAACATAATGAAAATGAAATTTAAATTCTTCATGAGGATTTCTGCATTAGAAGCGTCAACAATATGATTAAATTGTTACTTGGTTGTATAGTATAGAGCATTTCTAATAGAGCAATATTATTAGAATAGCACCTAGATACCCCCATTCCCACTCCTCTGCTTTAAGTACGTCACACTCTCAATGTATACACTGAGGAAGAAGGTTGTAGGTACATGTTCATGTTGTTACAATAAAAAAGAAAGACTAGACATACGACTATTATTGATAATAAGTACTTGATACTTGTATTCCAAAAGTCCAGACTACTTAGGTAATGCCAGGACTATATGAGCAGCCTTAAAAACGTATAAGCAAACCCTTTTAACAGTGACTAGTGATGTTAAATAGAATCAAACTGTGAAACAGCCCTTTGAAAGTAAGTCACAACTGCAAAGTCATGTTACTTGAAAATCATCCCTCTTTTGAAGTTGCTCACCAGTCCTGAAAATTGGTCATTTCCAGTGATTTCTAGAATGGTTTTGGAAGTGACATGGAAAATGAGGGGCTCTGGCTAACATGAGTATTTCTACTTGTGGGGGAGGATTGTTGTGGACATCTAACCTGTAGTTGCAGGTGTTACATATGCTGTGGATTACCAAAATTGTATTAAGATTGTATTAAAATTGCATTCTGCATCTTATACTGCATCAATAAGATAATGGACTATGAAACCTCATGTAATTTTTATTTAATTTTATAGTAAAAACCTTGAGCAAACTTTCTCAGAGATCTCTTTTTGAGAAGGCACAAGGAACAAGTTTTGACTCCTTGAGAGCGTGCATTATGCTCAAGATGTTAGCGAGAGGAAGAACGCTGCATTATATGGGAGTCCAAATTTATGAGAACATTTTTCTTAGTGAGAAAAAGGAGCTTACTGTCAGGAATATTGATCAAGCTGATACTCACTAGGCAACAAGTCCCAGGCAGAATCTATATGGAAAATGCTGGATGTCAGAAATGTGATGTTGCTATGGAAATGATTTATTGTCAACTAAAGAGAATTTTAATGGAGTCAAGCACCTAGCCACCTGATTTAAAGCACATTTCAGATTTTGGAGTAAAGTCTTGAGAGAATATAGATGCAAAGTGTGATCTGTGTATAGTTGCCTGGCATCATGCTTCAAGCGTATGAAGGGATACTGATTTGCTGCTTCACATTCTTCATTGACAGAAAAGGAACTTAAGTCAGGATTCATCTGATTCAAACACCATTTACAAGAATTAACTGCTGGAATGATTTTGTAGTTAATTTATTCTACTGATTTTGGGTGTTTTGAGCATTTTTTGGTTCTGATTACAGTTCTACTCATCCTCTTCTGTACAGCAGTACATCTTCCACAACGGAAGCCAGGCCTCCTGGCTTCAAACTTGCTCAAAGCCCTCAGTGCCCAGTGCTCTTTCTCCAGCCATCCTGCTTCTGAAAATGCTGCTTCTGGTTAACTAGCGTTCTGTATATTGCCAAATTGTTTGTTTTACTAAACAATGAAACCTGTCTTTTCCTCTAACTTTAAAATCTGTTCCCTAAAATAATAGTCAGGAGTATATCTCTGTATTCTGGGCTAAAACAGGTAGTGAGAAAGACAATAAGTAGGGGGCTGATGAGCTCAGTCAGTTGAGCATAGCGCTAACAACGCTAAGGTCACGGATTCGATTCCCATTCAGTCCCCATGTGTTGCCTGATCTAGTCGAGAGGTGGTATCCCTGGCGGCAGGGAGGCTGGATTAAAATGATCTCTAAGGTCCCTTCCAGCTTAGGCCATTCTACGGTTCTGTTATTGGCATTTTACGTGCTGGCAAAGGACTATGACTCTTGCGCAGAATCAACTCACTGAGGCCTCTGAGTGCTGCCATAATATTAGCTATGAAACAGTAAGCTATAGCCTTTGGCCATTACTGTAAGGATACAGTATCAGGATGCAGCCCTTCATTTCCACAGCCATGTCCTGAAGTCACTTTTGTCAGAGAGAATGTTTTGAGCAAGCATGAGCAAGTGATGGTTTTCCTTGGACCAAGAGACTTGCAGTTTTAAGACTTTTTTTGTCATCTCTATCACAAAAGGAACACTGCTTTGCCGTGTGTACTGTCACCAAGTGTTTGAAGTTCTGCTGACTAGGCTTCTGTGATATTTTCACCGTGTTTAGTATCTCGTCAGACTCTGAAATGTATATAATGTTTACTTTTTCAATATAAATGATACCAAGAAATTGATGATCCTAATTCAGGGACTCTTATTTCTCTCTTTCTGTGTGAAAAGATACTTATTTTTTATTAGCTTCGCATTATGTTCTCATTGTTTGCTTATTGCCCTTAATAAGAAGGCCACACTGCCGCTCGTAGTCCCAAACTTTGCCTTTATGTGTGTTGGACCTTGTCCGATAATCTTCAACATGGCCCAGATACTTAACATTTGTACAACTGTATTGGGTTCTACTACCAAAAGGTCTTTTCATTGGCCTTCCTTTTTACTCTGTGCTACTAACAGTATAGAAAAATGTTTAAAACTATGTTTAGACCTTGAAAATAGCACAATTGTCTTTTATAAACATTTTGCACAGTGTTTTTATTCTTGCTGAAACTTTCACATGTTTATATTTGGCAGTTTTAGTGTAGACTTTTTTTTCCCACTGTTACTTAGAAGTGGTTATAATCACTAGATCTTGGTTATCCATGGGCTGATTATCCAGGCTGTAGATTAACTATTTTTCTTGTTATTTCCAGCCATCCTGAGGCTGGAGCAAAGCTTGCAGCCACACTAAGCAGCATCTGCATTTGATGTGTTGTGAATTACAGTGTGTTTCCATGAAGTGCCATTTTGCCTGCTAATGCTTAGTCTCTTTTGCGCTCCAGAGAAATGTGTTTCCAAGTTCCTGAAATGTAAATATTCCTATAAATTGTATCCTAATCTTCCTACATTTTGGAATAACTATTTTCATTTTATAGCTGGAATTCTTGTCCATTATGTCTTATATTCTTAATAGGTGAGCACTGATTATGTTATAGTACACTGATTTGCAATGTTAAATACTTGTATAATGTTGTTTCATGTGACAAGTGCCTCATAATCATTAAATATATGAATTATGAGTGGTTTGACCTGAAATTCTAAGTCTCCAGAAAGTTTCTGAAAACTCAGATCCATAAATGCACTGATGCAATATGTTTTTTATTATAAAAGTTAATACAAAATACTTTTGTTTGGTCAACGTGGTGGGGCTGGTCAACAGGCCTGGTTAGATGGTATTTGGTTGTTTTTTATTCTTTCATCAGTATGAACTGAAAGTAACTTATTTGACATCAGTACGTTTATCCTGTCATACTCTGTGAGTGATAGTTGAGTACTTGAATCAATTATCCTTAATATCGTTTCTAAGAATGATCCCAATAATCCCTAATTTTGCTAGCCACATGGAGAAACAGATGTAGTTGTGTTAACTGGGATTATCTTCCCTTTTTAGCATTTATGTACTTACAACTCAAAGCAAAATAATCCCATAGCTATGCTTCCAAAGTCTGACGTTGAGAAAATGTGAGAGCTAATGCCTCTGCCTCCCACATATCCAGTTCTCTGGGTTCTCACCTGTTAAAGGGTGTTTCGTCATTTCACTTACAAAAGGATTACTTTATTTGGAAAATATTGAGTGCACTAATTAGCAGAGATGGTATTAGCAAAAGAGCCTCATATTGAATTCTTCTGCATTACAGGAGTACAAACGCAAGCTAGCCAGAGTGTCCCAAGTACGGAAAGAACTCAGGTCACGCATCCAGAATCTGCCTGATCTCTCTCGACTTCCCAACGTCACGGGCAGCCACGTACACCTACCGTTCGCTGGAGACATCTACAGCGATGACTGATTAGGAGAACATCCTTCCATAACCTCTACTTTTCTGTGAAATGAGGGGTAGGTCAGAATGATTGGTACTCTTGTAGTATTATTTTTGTATATTGTTGGAGAGTGTCAGTAAAAAAACTCTAATAATTTATAAAAAATGGTTTAAAAAGTTGATTTGTTTACTATTTTATTGGCGAGTGAACATAAGGGTACATTTATAAAAGTGGCATCTGTGTCTATTACATTGAAGAATGGATAATTATCTTATCTTTTGTAAAGATTTTAGTTGGGTGCCCTGTAAAAAAACATGCTAAGATTTTTCTTATGTACCCTATATTTATTGTAGATCAACGTATAATCAACATATACTTCTAAATTGAGACGTTTCAATTGCTAGTGAGGGAGTGAAATGTGGAAATCACAAGCTTACGTTTGCAAGAAGGTTGATGCAATTTAATCCAAAGTTAAAAGTGATCTTACTGTCCATTACATTTAAATTACCCACTCCCAAAACAAGTCAGGTGAAGGTTTTTTGAAGTAAATGTTAATAACCAATTTTGTATTGGAAACATAAATCTTGTTACACTGAGTGGATCTTTAAATGACTCAAAATACTGCATTATTCTAGTATCATTTAAAAGTCAGCATAAGAATCTGTGCAATCGATCAGTTCAATTATGTTTCAAAATTGTAACTTTCTTTTCACAGCTGCTTAGTTTCTAAATTGAGGGACCATTCATTTGTACTCTAATACCTTTCTAGAACATCCGTCTCCATCTAAAAAAGTTAATCCCACAAATGTGAAACCATTTTACAGCTTTAATTAAATTGAAAGGTCATTCTCTAAACTGTCTCAATCATTAAATGCCCATTATAACGATTTTACAAGCTATGCATTATGCACACGTGCAGGAACACAATGGCACAGCCGTGCTGTGTACATCCTCTTCCACTGAGAAACCCTGGAGGTGGGCAGGGGCTCTCAGGCCCCCACCTCCACCAGCTCCAGCAAACATCTCTAGATCTTGATGGCCTTTTCTCACAGAATGGGAGGAGTCAGTTCAGGCCTGTGTGTAAGTCAAACAGTAGTTGTTGAGGAGTGATTTTAAAAAATGCCTAGCTCTACCTTTGGCATTCAGATGACCTTAAAAACCTGAACAGCAAGTGCTTGAGCCAGATGTATCATCAGAGTCTTCAATAATTGCAGTTTGTTCATGGGTCTGCTCTTCTCAGGCATTGTTTTACATCAGTTAAATTCACAGTTTACAAGTTTAATACTCCTTCTCACATGAAAGAATTCTTTTAGAAAAATCTATTCTTCCTTTTCAAAAACCACAACAATTCAAAATAGTCCTGGATTGAAATTGTTGAAGATAGTGATCCATCACTTGATACTGACTTCTACTGGGCTAATTGCTAGAATACTTGTTGGATGTGAATGGAGAATAATCTTTCTCTTTCAAGTAGATATATTTGGACATAAGCACCTCAGTCCAGTTATCTTTTTTCATGGAAGTTGCGATGAATTAGACCTCAGTCAAGTAGGAAAAAAACCCCAAAGATAAAAATACAAGCTGTTGGCATAGCATTTCATAGCATGCAATATAGGACACTAATTTCATAAAAAATTCTGACTGAAGGTAGGAATGCTGGAAATAGTTCATCAGAGCTCACTAGCTGTCCAAAGATCTCTGAGTTTTGAGTGGCAATTTTCCTATCATAGGAAAACAGAGCTAAATGTAATGAATCCAGAGGAGTGGGGTTTTAAGTCTGATATGCAAAGTGAAGTAACAATACTGGCATCTTTTCAGCAGAGTTTCTTCATAAGGAAATGAATGTTCAAGTACAGTTCTAGTGTTTTAAATATTTCTGTTCTAGTATGTTAGACTCAGCTCATAAATTCTTACATATATATATATATATGTACATTGCAGTTGCAGTTAAATCTTGGTCTTGATAAAGAATAGCACCAAATTTTTTATAAATTTGTGATAAATATTAAAGCAGCTTAATCTATTCAGAATTTTAAAACAAACCATAAACCAAGAAGGATAAATAGTGAGTTCAAAGTTGAATCCCATCTGTGGAAAACTTAATTGCTACCCAGAGGAGGTTTTAAGTGTTTAGCGTGCATTGAAGGATCTAAGTCTTCAATACTCAAACCCATAGGGAATTAAGCTTAAACAATCTTTTGGTACCTTAATTAAAATAAATTAATTATAATAATAAAATTGAATGCTGCATTCCTTGATCTCTCAAGAATATTTAAAAAGATGTGACACTTACTTCACTAGACTTGTTTTGTCCTATTCGTAACTCTTAGTGATAATGTTGCTTATCTACAGATAATGTAGAACTGATAAAAGAATGAGGAAAAATCTCTACTTCTTGATATATATAAGTTTTAATTCTGAGAAAGTGCTATTTTCTGGACATGTTTTTATTTTACTGTGAAAATGTTTACTCCAAGGAATATTTCATAGCTGGGTTTTTGGAAATGATCCCTCAACTTTTATTTGGAAAAGAGGACTTGCGGAAGGTAAACATCACTCTTACAGCAAGTGTCATATATTAGTGGCTAAATGGTATGTTGATTTTTGTTTATATGGGAAAGGCATCACGTGTCAACTAGTTAAAAGATCTGTATTGTAACTGTAATAGTATAGGAGGAGATCACATGGTATGATACAAGTGCAGCCCTGTAGTATCAAAAAAATACCTCCAAATTCTCAGGTTCCAAAGCTTAACGTATGTACTTCTGACATCTCAGGAAGAAAAGAGGGTGGGTGAGGAAAGGAAGGGTGCCTAGGAGCTGGAAGCAAGGACATGCCTAGGTGGAAATGAAAAGCAAAACAAATGTCAGCTTTTGTCAAAACAGAAGTAACAGTCTGCAAATGGGCAGCACAATGTTTTAGCTTCAGATGGGAGTTTTCAACAGAGCTGCTTTGGGGTGTCCCCACCCTGGGAAAGAAAAGGTGTGGGTGTACTCTACCCATCTCTTGTAACGTGGTCTGACTACTCAACCCAGAACACCCACCCTACAAAAGGAACAATTATAAAATATATTAACATTTTTCATCTAATATTAAAAACATAAGAATTAGATTATTTTCTTCACTATATTGCACTTTCATTGAACGTTCTTTGAAAAAAGCAGATTGCTGCAGCTCTTTGCCATATGGGAGTGCTTACCTTAGAGGTCACTGGCACTGCTTGTATATTCTAGTGCTTGCAGACTCAAGCTGAGTTTTTGCAGAATGTTTTGAAAGATATCAGGAATATTACCCTACTTCTGTGGCTTTAAAAATAAATGTGAAGCCCTTAGTTATAAAAATTACCATTCTTAGAAATTGTGTTTCATTATTCCTTTAGAAAATTAAACTACAGCCTGCAGTAACATTAGCTTGTCTGTTTCACTCCATTAATGTTTGTATTAATATATTAAAACACATCAGTTAATCCCTAGCAGCACAACCCAAACTACATGCTTATTGCATATTTGATCTGAGTAGTCTTCTGAATGTCGAACAGAGAGATTTCATGTTGATAAATTCACATTCCTCTTTACTTGAAGCTTAACAAGACAATGTGTTAGGATTTCCACAGACTAATACTGCTCTCACAAGTCAGTGGTAACTGAGTCTGGTACTTCAGTGGTGACCCAAAATACAGAGGTAGGATGCAGCAGCCCCCTGTGCAGCTGACCATGGAAGACATGGACATCATACGCAGGCTCGACTGGCCCTTTCCAGAACAGCTGGGGTTCAACCTTCTGAAACGTAAGCAAATAGATTTGTGGGCGTGGGGTTTTTTTCCAGTGAAAAAGTTAGTGAACTAGAAAACCAGCACATCTAAAATCTGACAGGTTACATTTATAAATATTTAGGGCCAGTTCTGCTCATTACTCATGCATATAATCACAGTGACTATTCCTGCAAGTAAAGAAAGCAGACTCAAATGTAGTGTCTGAAGTGGATCTTTTTTTTAATGAATGACCAATTTTGTCTCGGCTCCTATTTCAGTGTGTCAGTTATCTTAATAAGTAGGAAATTTCTTCCATCTTGTTATTTAGAAATCTAATCCTGGTTTCATCTTTACAATATTTAAAGTATCCTACTAAGCATGATGTTTTTGTGGGAATTTGCAAAAGTTCAATAGCACTCGTTACTTGTTTGCAACAGAAATAGACTCATTTGTTAAAAGCTAACAAGAAAAGTTTGAAAAGTAAAGATGTTTCATTATTGTGCTTTTCTGACAGAACTTGTAATCTTTGTCCTTGTAATTTATGTCCTCAGAATAACACCTGTATGTACGCTCTTTCATATTTAATAGAATAAAACATTGTTGTAAAAACATCTTTGAAATCATGGCCTCTTGCTTGTCTACTCAATGTTACGGTGTGAAATGGCTTTGATGTAAACTGTTCCTGTACTTAGGAGTCACACAAAATCTGATGATGCAGGGTCAATGCTAATTTTGAAGTTTATTACTCTGTATGTGTAGTTTGTGTGACAATTTCCGGAGAGGAGGCAGTACATTAAGAATTCTGAGGTCAAATCTCTAGAACTGTAACTTTATTAAAAAGGAATATTGTTCATATACCATCTAATTTGGCTGAAGTTTGTGTTTCTTCAGAGGTGGGGCTGAATGTGAGAGAAGCTGTTGTAATATGCCAGCTTGAGATTCCCAATACTCAAAACTGCAAAAAATGGCTCAAAAGGATGTTTCAAAATAAAACACCCTTTAGTTGAGCTGCTTGTTTTAAGACACACTGTCACCTTTTCAGTATGTGGTATGATGCTATTACTGTCAATGATATACACACCAGTGCATATGTAGAATTTGTATGAGCTGGGAAAGAACTCACTCTATAAATACCTGTATACAGGGCTGTGTGCTTAACAGAGAACCTTCTTTGTCTTGCTTTACGAAGTTTGGGTGAAATTCTGGCCTCACTGAAATCACTGAGGTCATTTCCTCTCTATAGAGTTGTTCTTCCTACTCTTCAAGCACAATCCAGTA